GGGAGACCCTCCATGAGCAAGAGAAATAACAGAACAAACCCTGACAACTACACAACAACCATAACTAAAACTAGCCCCAGTTGGGAAATGCAAACACGTACCTGGGACCAGGGAAGAAGACAGGTCAGGAAGACAGGAACAGGTCCAGAAGGATAGTGGGGAAGCAGTCCCTGGCAGGAGCAGCTGGGCCAACTCAACCAGCCAGGAAATTCCTGGCGGGAGCAGCATGACTGACTCAACCTTCCAGGACGTTCCAAGAAGATGGATGAGAGGAACAACAGATCCATCCGAGCAGCCCAGGAGCCAAACGGAGACTGAGTTGTGCAGGTCCAGTAGAACCCATAAAAGCCCCGCCTACCTATGTGATTACGTACAGTAGGCGAGGCTCCGATTGGTTGAACCGGAACAGGTGGGGAGGGGTGTTATGTATTAGCCTACTCTAATTGTTCGGTCTGTGGTGGCGGGAAATTTGAAGAGCCATCACAGGCCACAGCCGCGAGCAGTCTGAGTATAAAAAGGGCTGCTGCACTTTCTTCGGGCGCTCAGTCCTAGACGGAAGTAAAACAATTGAAAATCATGCTGGTGTCCTAAGTCTCATTCCCGCGACTTAACAAGAAGCTAAACATCTTCAAAGGAAAAACAAGAAAGTCCAGTTGCCTCTGGGGAAAAAGCACCTTTGGGACAACCATGACCCGATGACTGAGAATCTCTACAGACAAAAGGGACAAGTATAAAAAATGAAAAGAGGGACACATAACTAAGGCAGAATACCAACAGATAGCCCAAAACAAAGGCTCAGAATGAACAAAGACTTCCAACAAGTCAAAGATAATTTTAAAAAGTTTTTTTTCAACATATAAATAACAAGAAAAAAAGTCAAGGAAGCAGTCAGTCCACTAAAGAGAGAAGATAGGAAGGCAGTAACAAGCAGCAGAGAGAAAGCAGAGCAGCTTAAAGCATTCTTTGCATCAGTCTTCACAGAAAAAGAAACTTTAGTCCAGACTACGAAAAACATAACTGTAAAAGACAAACTAGAAGTAAAAATTAAAATAACCAAGAAAATGGTAAGAGAACAGCTGTCTACCTTGATGAATATATATCACTGCAACCTGATGGGTTACATCCCAGAGTTCTGAAGGAGCTGGCAGATGTTATCTCAGAACCATTGCATCGTATCTTAAAAAATCTTGGAACACTGGGGAACTACTAGAAGATTGAAAAAAAGCTGATGTGGTTG